GGTTGATTTCCGAACGTTTTTGATGAAACGAAATGGCGATGAAGTAGGTGAGCAAGACTAGGAAGCTGGTATATCCGGAGGGTTCACGTGACACCGATCCGTCCCCGCATCCGTTCTGGGTACAGTCCGTTGTATAGGTCATGAGGAGAGCCCCGGATTGATAAGAGTAAAACTTGCGTTCGTAAACACTCCAAACTGAGGCTTTTTTGGTTTGCGACGTCGAAGTCGGAATCTAAATTTCATGATTGATCCTAATTGATCTTATCCAAACATTCTCTTTGTTTTTTCCATTGATATCCACTTAATTTCTAAAATTGATGGCTGCAATGCGCGCGAGGAAATTTGCTTGCGTTGATTCTGGTCTAATTCTTTGTTCCGTTGATCGCCTTACGTTTCCTCAGAAATATAAAAGTGCGTCCAGACTATCGAGCCGAAACTTCAGCATTTCGATAAACATTTGTTAGTGGCTCAGCAAAAAACGAAAGTTAGCTGAAATGCTCACGGCTTTTTATTTTTGAGAAAATAGCAATATATTTTGTACATCACGCAACATAATTGCTTGACAGCATTAGACAGAGGGGAGCATCTCAAATGACGAGAGGATGTAAGAGAAGTGGCGCGGGAACCACGCCACATACCATCTTGTTGCTCAGAATTTTCACGGGAATAGGCATGCGTTCGGGGCCATTTTTTGAAAATTGCGAATTGAGACGTTGAGCCACGAAAGTCAAGTACACTTCGGAAAATATCCTGTATTAAGAAGAAAATAATTAAAACAAGTTTATGAAAGTTTGTTCTAAAAATTAAACTTTGGATGTTCAAAATTGCAATTCGTCCATATTTCAATAGAAAGCTCTTTTTAATACATTTCAATGTTTTTGATTATGATTTTTTCAGATCGTGTATTTATTTAATGTTTGAAAAGAGTACCCTATTTGCGAAAGAAAAACATATAGAGAGAAGGATTAACAAATTTGAAAAGAGAGATCGCAAATTTTGATCAAAATATATCGAGCTTGATACACGATGCAATTCTTATTTAACTGAGCAGTTTTCATTAATGTTGACTCTGATGATGTTTTGACATATAAACTAAACTAGTGTTGGCAAATAGAAATTCTCAATTTTATTGAAAACTTTCAATTATATTGGATTTTATATTTAATATTTTGATTCTTCTACGATTAATTTAAGTTTCTTATAAAATGTTACAACATTTTTTTGTATCTTACGTATTTTTCAAAGTATTTACCTAAAGCAATTAAAATAGAACACTCTGTATAATTATATATGATTAGTATAGATATCTTACTTACAAATTTGCGTAGGAAAATAATTATTAATAGAGGCAAAATGTTCAAAAAGCATTATATATTTATAATTTCTATAAAGAAGTAAATAGTATATTTACTCTACCGAAGTAAATATGCTTAAAAATAAGTATTATTTATATTTTACAAAATAAATTTTAATAGCATTTAATTTAATGCAACTTGAATGTATAAACACTTGAAAAAATGTAACAATTTAAAACATTGATATATAATATTGAAATATGATTGTTGCATAATAGCTAACATTAGTTCGAAATAAGAATAATACATTTTAATTACAGTACAGTCTATTTGTTCCGAAATTATTAATGATATTGGTTTTCTTTATATCTTTATCAAATTTTATACAAAATAATTAGAGGAAATAATTAAAGAAATCATACTATGTAAAAACCATATAATTCCATTTAAAAAAGTGGAGATGACCGATCCCCATATCTTTTTAGTGCTTCCTAGAAAAAAAAAAATAACGTAATCAAAATACGTTCCCTGTTCCACTTTCATCTGAATGAAATATTTTTTCGTACTATTAATAATTTCGAAGAAAATTGATTGTATTGATTAAAATACACTATACTATAAAGGTACTAGCCTGTATTTGTAATAACTTTAAACTATTCACTAGATATTTCTTCTAAAAATAGATTAGGATAGAATCTCAGAGCTTCTATCGAATCGTCCCTACAGGCTTTGCCATATTTCTCCGTAACCAGCAATCGTTCACGTGCTAATAACATTGATATTCCCTCCGATTGTGCAAGATCCTCGGCCGTCATAGATTTTTTTTCTTTTAACTAAGAATTTGATAAGAGATACAATGAAAAAGTTAAATAATGTTTATTATATAGATTTATCATGTTATTCAGTGCTTACCAATTCTGTTATACGATCAACGACAGCATTATCATTGTGAGAACAAATTTGAAGAACCATAACACCGCTATCAAAACTTCTTAACACAATCGGTAAACCTAAAGGCGCTAATTGTCTACTGGCATGTAATAAATCTTCAGGAGATAAAAGTTCCAAACCTCTCGCTCTGTTTACTCGACAATAAACATCTGTGAGTGTCATCATGCCACCTACTTCCTAAAATTAGATATATTTAAAATATTTTTAGTTACTCTCTACACATTCGGTAAGTATATAAACTGCTAACCTTTATTGGCTCTTCCAAAATACATGCAAGTTGCTTTGCTAATTGTTTAAAGTACTCATTGCTACTCTTGTAAGCATCTCTTGTTACTGGATCGTCGATACCTAAGCTCATTAAGTAAGCCTTAAACCTGACAGTTTCATCCTCCGTTATATCTCCTTGTCTTGCCTGCAATAAAATTCTGCATTAAGAATCTTAATCCGTCAGTTTTGGGAAAGAATTATTAATAATTACCCTTATTTTAACTGAAATGGTCTTTGAGATAGCCACCATGTCTTTAGCCATATCCATAAGTTTTGTAAGATCTTGGAATGCCAATGATATATTTTCGTCAGTTTCTTTCTGTTTTTCTTGTAGACTTCTCTCAATGCCTATAATACCCGTTCGTGTTTTTATGTGAGGTAATAGTTTTGTATTTCTCTGATTATCATTCACATTGGATACAATTAATTCAGCTTCAGAAATAAACTCCCACATTCGTCTCATAATTGTATCAGACAATTGCGTTATAAAATTTGGGTCTAGACCTTCTTTAAATGATAATTTAACATAATTATACAAACTATTATCTGCTGGACCAGGCATCTTATCTAAAAATATGTAAGTCGTTACAGTCAAATAATTTATAAAATAATTTCCATTCACAAACACACACACACACTCACAAAATTTTATTTATATTATAGTTAAAGTCTTACCAATAGCAGGTTCAGAGAGATGCAATACAATCTTTTTACTACGCCCAAAGGAAAATGGTCTAGGATTTTCTTCTTCGAAGAAAATGATATGTCTAAGTGACAATGACAAACAAGTATTACCTCGTTGTACATCACCAGGTCTGCCCCAAAGTATTCTGTGACTAGTTAGAATTAATTCTCCATTTTCAAAATTTGTCTATCAAAATAAAAGTTATTTTAGTATCAATATTTTTACATATATGACTTAAATGTAGAATAATTAATTGGTCCTGATAAGCAAAATATTAGCAGAATGTCGCCAGACTGACAACAGATTTGATTACAGAACATTTTGGCAGGCTGATATTAATTGCGTTTGCATTTAACTTATATTCCACTGACAGTCTCATGTAATCAGGCAGTAGATTAGCAGTAAAAACGAAGAAGAACCTGCTGATAACAGATGACAGATTGATAGCAGAAACTATGTAGATCCGCATAATGCAATCTAATAGCAGATTAGCAACAGAAATTAAGCAGACTGCTACTTTGTAGCAATGGATGTTTTCCAACAATATACATGGATGACAACTGTTAACACTGTATTCTACATAAAGTATTTCAACTATGACAGTGTTACAGAGTAGATTCTACTCGATTTCTGCTGCAAATTTACCATCAGGTTATCAGTAGATTCTATTTAGATTCTATTACTGCTGATACAGAACGTAAACAGATTCTATCCAATTTCTAGCGATATTTGTTGCTATTCTTGTGCGTTATATAGATTTCGTATGAAATTTATTTTCCTCCTACCATCAAAAATTGATAGCTTAAAATTTGTTTCTGCAAGTTTAGCTATCTTGGATGAGAAATAAACACACATCTTCCGCAAATTATTGTGCGAAATTGATCATTTCATCCGCAGTAGTTTTTATAGTATTATTACCTTTGTATCACCATCATAGAGACGCACAACCATATCGCATCTCACATAAATTTCGTTTGGCATAAAGCGAGAATCAGCATACTCAAATCTATTCATTGTTGCTTATCGCGAACAATCGCGAACTGTCAAACGCTATCAAAATGAAGAACCATAACAGAGAGAAACCTAAGAGCGGCCATTTCGGCTTTTTGTATGACGCTCTTTACACTAGCGACACCAACATCAATTTTATTAGAATAATACGAATTACGTATCACAGTATCAATACTGTTGATAATTATCGTAGTTTCGAAAAATTAATATAGTGTGAGTACACAAACTGCGTGGATATAAAGGTAATATGCATATATTTAATATATATATATGTATATATATATATATTTAAGTAAATGTAAATATATATATATATGTAATAATAAAAAGCCATTGTTACAATTGAAATAAGATATTCATCCCAGTGAAGAATGATAATGGAATCGATATCGAATCGATGTCGATTCGACATCGAAATTATCAAATCGATGTCGATTCGATATCAATTTCATTGTCATTTCTCACCTGGGATGAACTGTGCGCGCGTATAACGAATCTAAGAAATAAATCAAAAACCGTGCAATAAAACTTTTATCGGAGACTATTAAAAATATAAAGAATATATTATTCTACTTATTTCGTAAAATGCGTTAATATTTCGAAATTTCGACAGTGAAACGGTTGGTGCGTGGCCTTGGAGTTGTTTTGAACGCGGTAGGAAGGACGGACGGCGTGTCATGTTTACGAGCAGTCACTGCGCAGTCATTCCTTTACCGAGAGTCGTACAGGTAGGTAACCGTGTTGAGTGTCGTTTTTCTCTATATTTCTTTTTGAAATACAATTATGAAAATACTCACAACTTACGATTACTAGTTCGTACGATTAATTTTTCATAAAAGGATGACACACAATCGTGTATCATGGAACAGATATCTCGTATGATTCATTCATTTGCAATTAAAATGCGATTGAAAACAGAATTTATTATTATTTCGCAATATTTTAGATATTTCATGTGTACTCACATGTGTGAGTATAAAAATGAGATTCTTATTGTTAGATATTTCAAATTGTAGCTTTTTATCACTTTGAATCGTATAATTCTGTCATTTTCGTGTTACTCCGCATTCTTAACGGGAAAAGTAACAGATAAATTATATTTAAATTACATGTTTCTAAATGTATGTGCATGTTATTTAGTATTTATACATATTATTCTATTTAGTCGAAATTGTTTCATAATTTAAAATAAATTTTGCATTTATCTTTATTTATAAAGGATGTATGACATATTATTAATCTTTAATTGTAAATCAAAAAACAGCAATAAAAATTGAGATATAATGTTGGGATGTTAAAAGCATTTTACGTGAACAATTATATAAGAAAAACTACGCTAAAAACCTTTTTTTACTTCTTGCTTTTTGTCAGCACATTTAAAATTGACGTAAATATATATATATATATATATATATATATATATATATATATATAAAATATACATAAAATGAACGTCATATGTTTCTCGATATCAATATAATTATGATATTACATTAAACGACTCACGCTGCTAAAACTAGATATAAGAAATTATTAATCGGAGAACATAAAAAGTGTAAAGATTTTATTATTTTACTTCGTAATACGCGTTAAATTTCGATAGACAATTGGCGCGCGGAGTGGGGATGGCACAGGGTGGCAAGGGATGGCAAGGGATGGCAAGGGGTAGCACGGAGCGGCGCGTCATGTTTATGCGTAGTTATGTTTATGCTCAGTCATTCTCTTACCGAAATTCCTACAAGCAGATAGTTGTGTCGCGTGCGGCTCTTTTTCACATTATTTTTTGAAATCTTGTTGCAAAAAATGCCAAATATAATACGTAACATTGTACTTTATAAATAATTAAACACTTGATACTAGTAATCGTATTATGTGAATATTCATAAGACAATATTTCGTATCATATTTAGCATTTTTGCGATTATTATATGTTTCAAAAGAAATGTGAAGAAGAGCGACACGCGATACGGCTATTTGTCTGTACGAACGGTATTACACGAGTCATAAAAAAGCAATGTTATAATATGAATCATGCAAGTAACACAATTCCTGTTTTTACAATTATAATATAGTTTATCAAACACACGTCTGCAATTCGTTATCATTGCGAAATAAATTCAGAGCAGATAAAAAAGTTGAATCTTTTATTTATAGATGATGTCTGTAAGATATAATTAGAGTCAATGAAATGGGCTAAAGATTAATAAAAAAGAAAAATGTTTCTTTTATTATCAATAAATAGTTCCAAAGTTACGTTTAATTTTTAATCGTATAACGAAAGGTGCACAAAAATAAAAAATTTATTAATTAAAAATTAAACGTAACTCTTTGGAACTATTTATCGATAATAAAAGAAACATTTTTCTTTTTTATTAATCTTTAGCCCATTTCATTGACTCTAATTATATATCTTACAGACATCATCTATAAATAAAAGATTCAACTTTTTTATCTGCTCTGAATTTATTTCGCAATGATAACGAATTGCAGACGTGTGTTTGATATTTGTTTCCAAAAGTTAACCGATTGAATAGTAATTGCATAGTAATATAGATAATAGCTATATTACATTTTTCAGATTATCTTCCCTCTCACGGGTACACCTTGACGTGGTGGGAGGGCTCAGTACCCAAAGGATATTTACACAAAAAGAACGGTTTTCTCAAGTTTTCTAAAAATTTTCAGATCTATCTGAGTGATATATCTAGATAAATTTTTAGATATTGAGTAAAATCATTCTCTTCGTGTAAAAATCCAACGGGGAAGCTAACGTACCCTCGTCGCCGATTTACTTGGAAATGAACGAACCGCAGTCGGTTCGTCGCGTCGCGCGTTTGCTTCGGGAGTGCCGTTCAAGTTATCGGACGCAAGTTATAGTCCGCGTGCGATTATAGTGCATTATTCGCGAGTGTTTTACGCGAGTGTCCTGTGCTAGGAGGATGTCAACCTATTCTGAGAGGAAGAAGAGGTCTGGGAGAGACATCAGGCACCGGTGGAGCAACTTTGCGGTAAATATTATTCTTGTATAAAATTAATCTTTTTTACTTATTTTTAAATTATTTTATTTTACAATGATTTAAAAATAATAATTAGAAAAAAAGAGTATTACTTAAAGATTTGAAATTTTATACGAATTTATTCCTATTAAGATTTCCTTTAGGAAATGTATAATTATTTTCATAAATATCTAATTCAATGGTGTCAATAAAAAGTCTGATGTTTATAAAAATTATATTTTTAAAACTACGTAATTATTTTTGAGAAATTAATTCTGCATGTTTATATAATAATTATTTTTTTGAATAATGATTGATTTTTGCTTTGTTTAATGCGTTGTTAATTTGGCTTTTACGTTTATTTATTACAGAATCAGCGTAGCCACGTTGCAGATAACTCCACTGTTGCGCATCTGGTTGGTGAGTAATGAATTAATTACGTTTTTATTGAGGTAATGAATGTATGATAATTTCATTAGTATACCATATATCTAGATGCATAATTGCATAAATTTAATAATAATATACGGATAAGTATATGTATAGTCTTCCATACATTCATTGCCTTAAAATGGATAAGTTAGAACAGATTAGGGTAAACTTAATTCTAGATATTTCTTATTATTGAATTTATTATGCATACGATTTTGATTTAGTGTATAAGTACACTCGTATACATATACATTGTATACAAAGATGGAATTTTTCGAATAATTGAAAATATCATAATAGAATATTATTAATAATTATATTAATTAATAAATAAAATTGTGCTCAATATTAAAAAATTAAATAGATCAACATTTATTGAACTTTTGTGCTTATTATTTAGAAATATATATAATATATATATATAATAATTTCTTGAAAACATAACGATAAAGAAAATAAAGAAATATAAAGATAAAAAAAGATAAAGAAAATATAAGAGATTAAATTAAAGTAAAAAATGTTA